TTTCTCTTATATCTAGTAGGTGAAATATGTATATGTGTATCATTCTCGGTTTTTTTTGATGTATCGCATCCTTTTCAGGCTACGTCGTCAGAATTACACCACTCAATAAACGAAACGTAATTTCTGTATAAGCGTGTTTAATTTAATATTAATACTGACTTATTTGTTTAGTCAAATTCAGTGGGGAATTGTAAAGCGATCTTTCCTCAATAAATTTCAAATAAGTTTTAAAATATTCCAGGTGCATTTAAAAACCTATTTAGTATTTTCTTTTATTTGGATCATTTATTGCAGTTTTCGTTCTGCTCTAGAAGCTTAGAAACTCCACAAAATATCAAGCATTATATACTCGTTTTCGCATTCCCAAAAGCTCTGAGATTATGTGTCGTATAATTACGACAACGTACGAACAGTCGGATCAAACCGGCTGAGTCGGCCGAAAGGTTGACTTAGCCGAAACGGAACAATAGGATAATTTTTCTAGTTATATTTTCTTTAGATTTAAACATCAAGCAGTTACAAGCTTAAAAAAGTATGAAACATTATCATGTTTGTTATAAATTATGCTTCTGGGAAAATTTATGAAACAAAGATCGGGATTGAAATCTTACTGGTTTAAAAGAAAAAAAATGGTTGCCTGTAAAGTAGGTTTTACGGGCGAAGATTTTACGTGACAACGTCTTTTTCTCGGTAGAATATTTATTGATATGAATATAATTAAATTGCACAATAGGAACAAGGAATTGAATGAAAATAAGAATTGCACAAATTTTAACTATAGAAATATATTTTGTTTACTAAAACATTGTACATGTAAACTTAAACTTAACACGAGAGACTCATCGTAACGTTACCGAGCGTTACACTTTTTCATAAGTGACTCCCAGCCGCAACCTAATTTAAGACGTTGTCACGTCAAAAAGAAAATATAACTATAATTGCTATTTCTTCTTTCAAATGTTTAATACTTGTAAAAGTATTCATTTGACATTGTGCGTTACCTACAATGCGAAGAGACGGCGCTGCCTTGCAGTTTAAGAATGGCTAGAAAAATTTCGACGCGGCCATCGGGGCATAATTGGTCAGTGCATTCGCCAAGGGTGCGGGTTCGAGTCTCGTCTACTGCCTGGTCCGCGTGGATTTTTTTCTAGTTATATTATGTTTTCAATAGGGTAACTTCTCGCGAACCGAGATCTTAGAGCAAAGAAACAAACAAACACAATTTGTGTGTAAAATGTAAAATCCGCCCTCCTCCTGATTTTAATCAGGTAATAAACGTTAATCTGGGACAACGCCAGTTTTGCATTTGAAATGGATCAAGATCCGTTTTCGATTGTGTTTTATTCAACCTGTCATAAACTTTCGATTTCATTTCCAAATTGAGTGGCGCATTCTAATGAAATGCGAACCTATTTAAACAGAGAGGTAGGTAGATACTATTGAACAAATTGCTTCCTGCTGTTCCTGAGCCTTTTTTCATAGAAATTATAAATATTCAGCCATTTACCATTAAATATTACTAAGTACAGTATTTATACATTGCCAGGGCAGTCTCTCATTAACTTTACCATGTCCTTTGACATTCGTTTTAATGAAATAGATCATTAAATAGATAAAAATATGAATAGTACTTTCAAATTCGAAATTAATTTTAGAAATAGTAAATGTCAAACCAGTCTTTCGATTTATCGACACTAAGAAAACTTGGTAAACTAATAAGGAATTCTTTAGTCTATGGCTAAAATCCCACAGAGTCCGCGGAAACAGAATGGGCGTGGCGAAAAACGGAACTAACATTAAGATTTTTATTTGGCAATCAAACCCAGCAATCTGTAAAACTTCAAAGTTTTGTAGTGATGCGGATTTGTTTTTTGTTGTGATTTCTTGCGGTTTTTTATATTTAATCATGTCTAAAAGGGGTAAAACCTTACGAATACGGTAGAAAAGCACTACAGCGCCCTCCAATCTAAATCCCATTCTCTTTCCGCACAGACTCTAGTGAGGTTCTTCGTCAAAGCTAAAAGCAAATAATTTAACGTCAACACAGAGAAGCAGCCTGAGGCGGCAAACACTGTCACGTCAAATATGATTGTTCATAAAATAACAAGTTTGTTTCCCGCGATAAATACATTTCAGAGATAGTGTACCTTATTGTTTTGCAGTATTTATAATAAAATAAGCTTATGGTAGGTCACGAATCATATTGGCTAACAGTACTTGATATTTCTTTAAGGTGAATGCAAGCGATTTTGGAGAACGCTCATGAATCATTCTAACTTTGTTTAAAAACTTTGAACAGAGCAATTCGTACATGCAAAACGAGCTTGAACTAACAAAGCTCCCAAAGGGATGATAAATACAGGGCTTTAATGTTATTTACTGTAAGGTTGATTAAATAGTGGGATCTATTGTGTCCTGTTGGTTCTCCCTAAATCTACTGTGCAAACAATCTACCTTACTCTAGTAAGGTAATTTGCTTGCACAGACAGCCACAGGTTTAATTTAACCGTCAATTCATTTCAACAAGCTTTGAGGTTTACCTTGCTTAATATGAATAAATATTGATCGTGATAGGTAGATCATAGCCGAGTTTTCGCTTAAATTTGAGCGTCCGTCTGGGGAAGCAGCCTCCACCTTGGAGTAGATCACAGATTAATGACACTACTTTTAGTGGTATAACGGACGTGAAGGAGATCAGGGATTAAAATAATATTGTTACGTGTCGGGATGGGGTTCAAAATCCAGTTCACGCTTTACAGTTCTTTATTCACCACTCAGTTCACACAATTAACACACAATGTTAATTACAAAACACTCACTAAACACTGTATTTCACTATACAAGTCTCTAAACTATCGCACTTGAACACTTTTGTTGCACTTTGATCGACTTTGGATTCGCTCCGAAATCGCTGTTGAAACTCAACTGTCTCTGCGCGGCGCCAATCGCGCTTATATACGCCGATCGACGCATTCTAGAAAGTACCTGTTAAATTGAGAATTAGCTAGCACCCGCGAGTACGAAGTACCTACTTATACCTACGCAGGTGACGCGCATAACTTGTAAACAAGTGCAGATGTCGTTGCACTTTCTCCCTTACGCCCTGCACTGCATAAGCCTCATTTTAGAATGAGCCGCCTTACTCGACCTCTATCGCGACCCGCGGTGATCTGGCGAATTCGATCTCTAGCACTGTCGCGGTTCCGTTTCGAGAGCGTTTGTGACAATATAAATAAAAAAAATCACAAAACTTGAGGTAAACAATGTATGAAATGACCGTATTTACAAGCGAGAAAATGGCAAGTGAAACAAAAGTATTCGCTTACCGCCCGAATGCACTGAACATTATGCAACCGCGGCCCTGAAGGCCGTGTCGAACTCTTTCTAACTTTTCTTAAGCTGCAAGGCAGCGTCATCTTTTCGCATTGTAGGTAACCTACAATGTCAAATGAATACCTTTGCAAGTTTTAAACATTTGAAAGAAGAAATAGCAATTATTGTTATAATTTATATTTTTTAAGCATGTAACTGCTCGATGACTAAATCTAAAAGAAAATATTATTAGAAAAAAATCCACGCGGATCAGGCAGCAGACGGGAATCTCTGCTGCCTGGATTTTATTTCTTCTATTTCTTTTTTCAAATATTTAATACTGGCAAAGGTATTCATTTGATATTGTGGGTTACCTACAACGCGAAGAGATGGCGCTGCTTTACAGCTTAAGAAAGGCTAGAAAGAATTCGACACATCCGTCAAAGCCGCGGTAGCATAATGGTCTATTCATTCGCCCGGAAAGCTAAGGGTGCGGGTTGAGCCCCGTCTGATGCCTGAACCGCGTGTACTTTTTCTAGTAATATTTTCTTTAGATTTAAACATCGAGCAGTAAAATGCTTAAAACATAAAAAATATAAAAGTAAAACCTATCAAAAACTAGTTATATCTATACTATTATATAAAGAGAGAAAAGGATACACTGACAGACTGACTCATCAACGCACAGCCGAAACTGCTTGACCTAGAATGATGAAATATTGACAGTAAGTTCCTATCATTGCCTAGTCAAGTATATAGGGATTTTTATTTTTGTCGTCAAATTTGTTATATCGAATAATTATATATATTACTTTTCTATTGTCTATAGTTTCAAAGCCACTAATAGTTCATAAATTTCATTATTTACATGTGGTTTTAGTTTGTCTTTCTGATTGTTTATTTAATTAAAATTCGGTCCGTTCGTACTGTCTCTTAAGCATGATGTGGCTACCTTCAATAGAATTTTGCATTTTGTATGTATCACTATAGTGATTAAAAAATAAGATTTAATGTAACTTTCTCTGGTCGTCCTAATAAATAAATAGGGATAAGTAGATAGGGAGGTATAGGATTATTTTTGAAATTCAGCCTCTTAAGCGTGAAATTTGCAAAAAACGTTTGTTCGTGAAATCTTATTTATCCCTTGGATCTATTGACTGTAATTTCTTCATAAACATTATTTAATAGATGTACACTAAGCCTGTTACATAAAATTTTTACAACAACCTCAAAAAATTACAAAATTTCGTGACAAAATTTTTAGGGACATCATCCAAAAGTGCATAGGATTGATTAAAATTTTGCACACCTACAAAAAAAATCTCTATATAAAATAAAAATGCTAAAATGTGTTTTCATTTTTCAAAACTACCCTCATAAAACAAAGATACCTAGCATGTAACAATAGTGTGCACGCCTACACTTTTGATCGTAGAGACATGATATTTCGTAAATAGGTTGTTTAAATGACGTAGGCATCAAGCGAGAAAGGATTTTTGAAAATTCCTCCGTGAATTCGGTGATAAATCATTTAATAATAGCTAAAAGAAAAAATGCCCAACCGCTAAATAACATATTTTATGATATGTATTCCTTTGGTAATACCTTAATAGGGAACTCATTCAAACAGTGTAATCCTTCTCAGTTTTAGATAGAGTTATCAGTAACTCTGTTTTTTTTTGTTCTAGTGATGGTGTGAACATGTAGCAGGGATGTGCGCGCCGGCCGCAGCCGCGCTGCTGCTCGCTGCGCTCACTGCGCTACCCTGCCGAGGTAAACATTTATTGACTTTTTTTTCTAAATGACTTCGAACGGCTTGTGCATTTAGCCAATGTCAAGTGTTAAAATGTTTAAAAATTCTATAGCACTCGTGGTAAAAGTTATAAATCAAGTCTACTTTGACTTAGTGGCAGTCCAGTCAATCCCCCTTTCCCTATGTTTCAGTAAATGTGTGGGGATTTACTGGAACCTCCCCGTGGACTTCTTGAGGGAACGTCGAAAGACACTTTCCGCTATTTTGTTTCACTTGCCAACACTTGTGCATGTTCCCGAACACTTAGTGGTTAATAATACACCATTTGTAGACACTAACATCCGCCACAACACAATTTTCAACAAGAAAAACAAAACTGCTAAATTGACGCTTTCCGATCCCGCCAAAAAGTCCTAACGAGTTCTATTATAAACACGATTATGCATTAATTTGAATAAAGAACTTTGGAACCCATGATTTACCACATACTGGATGTTAAAAGGACATTGGGTAAACATTTGTATGGACGCTGCACCCACGTCCAGCACGGCTTACACTACATTTGTTTGAAAGGTGTTAGGTTTAGTCATGATCATCTGTGACAAAGCGTATCAAATTCCAGCCCGGTGGTCTTTAGTTATTTAAAGTTAAATAGATACAAGTACTATAACTTGCGAACGTTAATGAAACAAGAGAAGTTATTTAGTTAGTTCGATCCTACATAGAGGGCTCAGGTATTATGGGAGTACCTCAAAAGGTGCAAAGGTGGGCACCTTATGTAATTCTGACACGCTAGAGTTAATCCGAAAATCCCCGCTTAGATTGAGTTTATTTTCAAACGGTCTATTCGTAATAGTAAATTGTCTTTTACGTAAAACGGAGCAATTACAAACTTGTCCACGCCTCAAAAAAAACATACTAAATCACTAATTCCAATGTCCAAACGTGTTAGTTTAAAATCAATCAAGTGATAGGGAACGCACAATCATAATGAAGTAAGACGAAGGACTGCATATGAGTCGAGCAGTCTAGTTGCAACTGCAAGTCCTTCAAGCCCCGTACCCCTCCCCATGAACCGTTTTGAGGTGTCTCTGTAAGTGCAAGCGAAGGATAGTCGGCAGGCACATTATTATGGTTACTAATAATATAAAATTAAGGTACTATTAAATTAATTTATTTAGCTACTTTAATATGCCCATGTGTCATATCTTTCGATTACTAGGATATTTTTTTACGGTGTCATAATAAAAAAAAGGCCAAGTGTGTGTCGTGCCATGCGCAGTGTGGGGTTCCGTAGTTGCTCTTCGTTACCACAATATATTTTGGAAAATATCTATATTAAAAAAAAATTGTCTAAGTCACTTATAATGTTTTTTTAAGGATTTTTTATTAGGTCACAAGTTTTCTAATACATAAGTTGCACAACTATTACTCTTAAACTAATAAATCCATATTAACCAATTTTCCCTAAAATTTCATGAAAAACATAGCGAATATCGCTATGCTTTTATCATGGTTTTTTCCAAGTTTGTCAAGCCAATAGTTTAGCTTTTCGGGGGCGGGGGGGATTTCGGAAGCTCTACACGAATAAAAATTAGCTTAAAGTTCAAGGTTTCGCAAATGGATCCCAAATGAAAAAATAATGTTTGGAACCATGAAGTAATTTTAAACTTTATCCCGCACGATGGGAGTAAACGATGAAAAAATAAAATAATTTCCAGGTTACATGTAGGGGAGCTAACCCAAACAAAATATGTTTCAAAATTTTATTGTACCATTTTGTCGACATGATTCATATACATTATCTCCTTTTGGGTTCCTTGTCAGGACTACGGAACCCTAAAAAGGCTAATTTTTCATAGACATTTCGATTCATACTAATAACATTGTTTCCGGAGCTGGGTTTCTTTTGCCCAATGTCCTGACAAAAGGGAAAATCATCGAGGCATCCTCACCATCAAACTAGTTTCCGTTGTCTTCGCAGCACGCGGCATTGTTCCAATTTTTAATGTACAGATTTTTTTATTCTTTTTTCTGATTTAAGCGTAAGTAACATATCATTTACACAATCGAAATATAAGCATCCTAGTCACGTGAATGCTATAATCAACTCCTGCGACCTCTACTTAATAGTCTGGATAGATGCGAAAACTATTAATTATTAGACCCAAACTTATGCCAAACCGGATCATCTCCAGATCGTAATCTACATGGTACCTACCTCACAAATTGGCAGCAAAAACCCACTGGCAACATTAGTCTGATATGAAAATGTTTTATCTGCAGTATTTACTTTATCTGTTAAATAAAGAAACTAAAGATCCATCAGAAGATCTCCTAGTAAACTTATATTTAAAAGGAATGTTCACGCTCATCTGAAGTGTCATTTTATTAATCATCATCTTGTGTATATATGTATATATATGTGTATACTGAATATATTTAAATATTAGTGTGTTATGTTTGTATGTATTATATTATTTTTATAGTATGTATTTATATATGTATCTATGTTAATTTGTACATATATTCGTATTTAGCTTTATACCGCCGTTCGTGTTTTTCATTTTTCCCAAAGGTAGACTGGGAGAGAATGCTTTTAGCATTAAGTTTTGCACCAATGTTAAATATTTTAGTCAATGGAGTTTAAAATAAATAAATAAAGAAAAGATAAACTACAAAAATTTCACTGTTATTACACTAGTCTTTTGCTTTATCTAAATTTAACTATCAGTGGCAAAAAATATGAATTATTCAGTTTACATATTCCCGCATATCAACAAACTCCAACATATTTATTGAATTGCCAACAAAATTTTCTAGTAAAGTTAAACGAAATCCATTATAGTGGTACATATTGAGTTGTTTGAACTAGTTATACGAGCGGGTACATTGTAAATTAGTTGGTAGTTTCACTGGACTTTCTACCGTTGTCAATATACATATATATATATATATATATATATATATACACACACACAAATATATGTATATAGCACTTAAAGGCAGACGAATACCGAACAATAGCTTATTAATCATCCGTAATGCGCTCAGACTTCAAGTTAAAAGGTGTTAGCAATTATTTAGGTTGAAATTGTAATCGATATTATCTGCAGATTGGGCCTTAATGTGTCCTTTAGCCGAAACCTTTCTCCTACACAAAAACTCAGAGCATGTAAATAAGCCTACAGGATTTAATATTGTGATGGAAAAATAAAGACTTTTATTATTTATAATTCTGGCTCACAAGACTTTTATATCTCCTACAATTTTTTGATCATACTCCTGTTATTAAATAATTGTGGGCGTAATTGCCCAAAACTTACATTATAAATAGGCCAAGCACTTGTTGGTAAGTTCATAACGACGACTGCAATTCTCGGCTATTCTTTAGATATCAATTCAAATGTGATTAACTTTTTACTAACCATCTTATCCCGATCGTATCAAAAGATTTTCAATATTTTCAACTGCGCTCTACAAGTTGCATATCAATCAAATCAAATGTGCTTAGTGCTATGCCATTGAACTCAAATACAAAACAGACGAGCAAAATTCAATTATATCAAAATGATCTTCGTAGTCATCAATCACATTTGTTCTCATTTTATGCAAAGCTATAAAAGTTGGATTAGGAATTATAGGTAGTTAGGATTGAAAAAGTTAATATTGATTTGGATCTCAATTTATAGGAGCCCTTGGAATTAGTGATCCATATCCCAAGCTTCCATGAAACCTTTCATAAAAACCAGTATCAAAGAACCCCTAGGTTTGGTACACATAATATTTACTTTGTTATTATTTTTTAAGCCAATGTTGGGACACTTTAAAGACTTGCGGCAATTATAGGTTCTATTTACTACATTTATTTAAAAAAACAACTGAATATACAAAAAACATCCTTTGGAATATAACAATTAGTTAAGAAAGCTTTAGCTTAAATAATTCAAATTGAGTTCAAGTAACCTATCCTAATCTTTAGGTTACTAATTGTATTTTTAGGTGATGTGTTTTGTTCTTGAAGGATTATTTAACTATTTCCCCTTATTTACTTTTACCTCTCTCAATTCTTCAATTTCACAATTCTTCTTTATAGATTTCAATTTATGGAGAAAGCTCCAAAAGCGCCGTGTAAACGATGGGCCTTTAAAAAATATTTTCTTATTAACACAAACGTTCTCCTTATAAATTAAATCGCAGGCTCTGAAAGGCTCTCAAATGGTATTCCTTGAGAGTCCTTATTATATTTTAATTCGAGGAGAGATTTAAATAGAGAGACGCGAGCGCTTCCTTTTTATTTTTTTCAAACAAAACAAGACTTGGATTACTTATGATTGTCATTTTTAAGAAAGTAATTTTCTTAAAAATAACAATCAAAAGTACATACAAGAAAGCATAGCTTTTAAAATATATATATAAAGTGAGTGTACCATGTTGTGATTACAGTTTCGCCAAAATTTTATTTCTTTTATTTTTAGGTACAGATGCGGATACATCTTCGACGATTCCAGACGAAATTCATAATCATGAAAATGGTATCCAGCCAACAATAACTATAGTATATCAAATGTTACATGGTACAAAATACAACCAGTCTCACATCGAATCAGTAATAAGCGTGAATGAAGTGAAAGACAAAACATGTTGTGATTTCAATTATAAAGTGCAAGTGCTAGATGAACATAAAGGTGCTATATTATCAAAAGTTAAAGACAAAAAAGATAGGATAAAGCGAATTGTGAATATGGAAAGACCAAGTGAATTTAATGTGGATAGTTCAGGAGGAACTGAAATAAGTACTGCTACTTCTGTGGTCAGTTCAGCATTGGCGTCAGAGAGAAGAAGAAAACCAGGAGAGACTGGTTCCAGTGCTCCACTGTTAAACTACATTTTTGACACTTATACTAATACCCATCAACATAGGAATGGCAAGTAAGTATGTTTAATATATCGTTATTATTATAAGAATAAAACAATTTCAACAGATACTATTTAAATACTTTCGCATAGACTATGACATTTGATCTAGAAATACCGTTATCTTGCAAAACAATTTTAAGGTTCGGTGACTCATAAAACGAGTAATATTATATCCGAAAGTGCTCCAGCAAAATAAAGAATATCTGCCACAAATAATTATCTGTTTCTTCGTTAGACAAGCTAATGCTATCAAATCTTTTGATCAGGGTCAGCCCCGGTAATAGTATTTATGCTGCCGCCGCTCCAGAAATAGAAGCATTAGTGGGATCTACGGCACACTTAGATTGCAAAGTTGACAGTCTCCACGATAAACTGGTAATAAGTATGTTCATTTGCTTTCGAAATTATTGTCACTTGGTAATTTATTTTGTATATTTAAGTCACATTACCTATGTATTAAATTACTAACTACTTTTACACCCGTACTGATCTCAGAATGCCAATTAAAAGTAAAAGTCTATCTGAATGCGTCAGCTAACTTTCCAGTGCACATAGTGAAAGCCTATCAAACTACATGTTCCGAGACAATTATAGACTAGCAGCACATCATTAGTTTTTGATTGTTATCAAAAACTAATGATGTGCTTAAAGCATACAATGCCAAAAAAGTAAGTAATTATTGCATTGTTGATCTTAACCTATACACACATCTTTGAGACTCTGCCGATAACCCATCAAGGAATATTTGGCGTTAAAGGTATATTAAAAGAACAATATATTATCTTACATGAATTCACATTTAAGTTCCTATGATGTTTTTCTATAATGTTTACAATTTTTACTACTTTTATCCAAGGAATTGCTGAACTTAACAGTATATAAACTCCTTGCCAATATCTTCATTGTGAAATTTCTAGATCTAAATTACTGTTTATTTTTATGCTTATAAATATAGTAGTGACCTTTGTCTATAATGTTGATTTGCCATAAAAGATTTGCGATAGTCAATATATTCCCAATACAATACTGTATGTTTTGATACATGTACAGAAATTGCTAATACCCACTAATGAAGAGGGAACATCCAAAGATATTCATTAATCGGATTACGTCTCGTTTGTTCTTTGTACATATTTTGACTTTATTCAGTATTATATAAAACACTGACTCCATTTATCAAACAATGATAAAACTAAATAAATCTATACTAATATTATTAAGTGGTAAAGTTAGTTTATTAGAGGAAATATCTGGAAAACTAAATTAATTTTGGATTTTTTTTTACCAGTTGAAAGCTACATTAGTTCTGAGTAGCAGGCTTTATTTTATTGCGCTATAATAATTTCACCGCTGCAAAGAGGAGGCAGGTCACTAGACATAATTATACTAAAACAACTTAACGAATTCAGGTATCGTGGGTCCGTAGGAAAAATGATGAAGAGCCCATGGAACTTCTGACAACTGGCACTCAACAATACACGGCAGACGACAGGTAAGTGCCACTTAATGAAATACCCAAATCAATCTCACTCAGTGTTCTTTTATTTCAGATAATTTTAATGTATTTTTTTATGATTTGTCATTCAAAAAGATTTGGCCCTGAATTTTCACCCTTTTACCACCAACCCCTATTTTATAGCTTTACGAAGTTCGCTTATATAATGTAAAATAAGTGCGAATCTGATTAGCGCACGAAGGGTTCCGTACGACCAAAAAACGGCATAATAATCACTTCTGTTGTTTAGGACCCCCTTTGAATATTTAAATATATCGTCTGTGAAAATTTCAACTGCCTAGCTACCACGGTTCATAAGATACAGCCTGGTGAGAGACAGAGACACAAATAGCGGAGTCTTAGTAATTCCCGTTTTTAACCTTTGAGTGCGGAACTCTAAAAAGAACGAATCAAAATCTTTATTTTAGAAAATACTTTGGTGTATATTCTTTGAAAGCTTTTGTAATTCACAACAGGATTGTTGCTATTTTTTATAAAAAGCTCATGGCCCAGCTAGGGACTTGAAGACATCATAGTATAAAGACGCTTGCGATAACAAAGTATCGCATTTTACCAACTCTGAATCAATATCCTTTCCCAGACTACCCTAGACACGTAATTTATTACAGAATCACAAGATACGGTGTAGTTGTAATAATCATCATAACTATACTGATTATTTATTATAACTACACCGTATCATGCCGTTGCTATGAATGCATTAAATGGTCCTGATACCACGTATTTTTCTTTCTCACGCTCTTACTGGTCGACTGAATAGAGAATGCCTTATGCCATTATGTCCGCCAATTGCAGTATTTTGTGCATTAAAGTATAAATAAATAAATCTAATAAATACACCTCGTGGGTTCAGTGCGGACATATTGGGTACTGTCGACTGCAAATGCAACCAAGACCAAATGCTTCACGTACCTTTTAAAGCACGGATGAGCTCGAGATAAAATCTTTTGATCACCTATCTTTTTGCTGCAATCCTCTGTAAGGTGAAGATAACCTAGATGGTGCTACAATTAGAATATGAAAGCGGTTGTTTTTTCAAATTCTAAAAAAATATTTAATGGTTGTTAAATTTGCAGGTACTCTGCCCGTTTCATACCGCCAGACATATGGAGGTTAGAAGTCAAGGAAGTCAGGCCGTCAGATGCAGCCCATTACGATTGCCAACTATCTGCTCATCCTCCAAGAACAGCACGTGTCACTCTTCACGTTCCAGGTATATTTATAAAAGCTAATTCCGGCTCTCCTAATTTTATGTGAGGATAGATAGAGTAGCTGCTTTTTTAGAAAATATCCTACACCTTCAGATATCCCACCCTAGCTGAATTAAGCCCTACTTCTTGCTAACGAAAGGTATTCCTTTTCTGAATAAGAATCCAGGATAGTCCTTTCGTTAGTTAGAAAATCTTAAACCCTCTAGGTAGTTTTAATAGTTACTTTAAGGCGTATGGCTAGGTCTATAGACTTCACCAGAAGGAGGCTCTGATTTGACAGGAACTCTCAATGCACTATCCTAAGATACCCATGGTTCACAAACATAAAATCTACCCTAAACATTAAACAAGATCTGATAGAAAAATCTAATCTAATGTTTACGAGTACGTGCATTAATTATATAATTATTTTTGCTATTTCTCGGCTAACGAAAGTTAGTGTGGTTGAGTTTATAAATTTTCCTTTGTTTATTTTTCTATACCTAAAACATTTGAAGGCGAAAGTTTTAGATGTAAAAACTTATTTTATTACTTGTTTTTTTAGTAAAAAAAACAAGTAATAAAATAAGAAATTAGCTCCATTTCTTTTGATTAAGTATTATATTATTATAAACTAGTTGCAGCAAATTATGCTACTTTACATTGAGATTCAACTTAATAATAATATTCTTTATTGTATAACACCACAAAGGACATAACAGTAAGATTACACTGACAGAGAGACAATACACAATGGGCGGCCTTATTGCTTAATAGCAATCTCTTCCAGGCAACCCATGACGGAAAATTAAATAAGTATATAAGAACAAAAAAAGGAAGTGAAGTCTAGTTGTGAAGTAAGACGATGCGTAAGGCAAAGTACCACTCCAGCTATTCTCTCTTTTTTCTCTTTCTCTTTCGGACTTCAACCAAGTCCTCTACTCTGATAAGACGGCCATTTCACACATAGAATTCTGTGTTCGATTTTGATGTTTCTGCAAATTAAATACAAAGGGTTTTGGTTACAGAGGTATCCGTGAGGATAGTCGATGGTGCTGGTGCGGATGTGTCTGAGCAGGTGTGCGAGATCGGCAGCACTGTCGCCCTGCGCTGTGAAGTCAGGGGTCTGAAGATGGAAGGTGGACCTTCGCTGCTGTGGTATAGAAGAGAGGCTTTGCTCAATGATGACACCACTCGAGGAGGAATAAGGTATGACCATATGTTTTTCTCGCGTACTTTTAACAGTTTATTGAAAGGTCGGAAGCACTGTAGTAGCTCTCTATTGTTATGTTATAGGCCTAAAGGTGGAAGAAGAACCTTTGCTGCTCTAGTATAGGAAGGAGCCTTTGCTGTTCGATGAGACTACGGTTTAACCATAATAAGATTTGACCGTAGCTTCTTCTTCTAAAATTTTACTATAAGATCGAAAGCACTGTCGCTCTATACTGGGTCTGTCTATAGAAGTAGGGATCCTCGCTGCTGTGATATAGAAAGGAGTATGTCCATATAAAATGTGACCTTTGGTTATCAAGCTATGCAGATTTCAACCATAGCTGTACTCCTAACTATTTATTCTTCTTTTCTTAATCGCTTCTACGTACACAAATTGGAAATATTTCCAGATTAATATGAAGAAATAGAGGTCGCCTGCCCGTTGACATAACGAATGTTCTCGGGTTTCTATACCCTCTCACTAAACTAATTGTATTATTCTAAAATGACGAAGGTAATTGTATGTACCTATGTTAAATGTCCATTCCATTTATCTGACATCTTTACACGACCCTCATGTTGTGGATATAAAAACGATACGAATACAAACAAAACTATTCGCATTGTATTTTACAATGCGTACTGCTCTAGACTGGAATTCGTTACCTGGCTCGGTCTTTCCAGACCACTACAGTTTGTAAGTCTTACAAAAAAAAAACACCATCGAATCAACCATCAGATACTAGCGCAAAACAACTTTGCGATCTTACTTGATAATATAACGATTGTACACAGCGTCCGCACAGAGTTCGGTATGAACGGCGCCAATTCCGTCCTACGCGTGGCTCGCGTGCGTGGCGACGACGCCGGCCGCTACACCTGCACAGTGTCGCGCGCACCCCCGCCCGCGACGCCGCCCGCGCACGTCCTACTGCACGTCATCAAAGGTGATCTTCATAGCTAGTAATAGCCTACTGGCCGGCGCGAGTACAAATACAACATTTTATTAAGCCATCTGTTACAAATATTCAAAATATAAGTATGTTTAAACTTCTAGCAGTGAAATGCTTAAAAATTAAAATATAACTTTAGGTAGGTATGTTCAGTAACTGCATTTCCAAATCACCAATTCAACATCATTGCAAAGAAATAAATGTATACGTGGCGTCGACGCTGGCCGCTATACGTGCACTTTACATCATCAAAGGTGATTATCATAGCTAGTGCCGGCTCGGGCCGGCGCGAGTGCGTGGCGTCGATGGCTGCTACACGTGCCCTGTACGTCATCAAAGGTGATCATCATGGTTAGTGGTCGCTTACTGGCCGGCGCAAGTGCGTGGCGACAACGGCTGCTACACGTGCATTATATTATACGACATCAAAGGTGATCTTCATAGCTAGTGGTTGCCTACGGGGCAGGGCGAGTGCGTAGCAACGACGCCCGCTACACGTGCACTTTACGTCATCAAAGGTGATCATAATAACTAGTGGTCGCTTACTGGCCGGCGCGAGTGCGTGGCGACTACAGCCGCTTCACGTGCTCTGTACGTCATCAAAGGTGATCACCATAACTAATATAATAAATCATAAACTTAATTTGTCATGATTCTATATAATATAATAAATCTAAGAGATTGAGAGAGACATATTGAGCCACTGGTGGCGGCCACTAATGACTCAATGTTGCCTGTAATACAGGTTATCCTACCACAGGCAACAGTAGTCACCTTTTACAATATTTAAGCTTCAATGTGCCTATTGTCACCAATTTTTGCCACATCCACTAGTGGCTCAATCAAGCCACTAGAGGCCACTCAAATGCTTAGTGTGCGCCGATACCATACAAAATGTATAAAAAGCTTGACCACAACTTGTGGACGCGTTTAGGGGCCACCACCATGGCCACAATGTGCGCTTGCTCTAAAGAAAGTTTTACTAGAAATAAAATCCATGCGGTCCAGGCAGGAGAAGGGATTCGAACCTGCATTTTCTTCTATCTGGGCGGACACACTAACCAATTATGCCACCGCGACCTTGAAGGCCGTGTCGAATTTCTAGTATTTCTTTGGCTGCAATGCAGCGCCAACTCTTCGCATTGTAGGTAGGTAACCCATAATGTCAAACGTTATGCAGTGTGTGAACATGCATTAGGGGGACAAAACCATTACATTAGATTTGATAAACCCCCGATCCTTGCAACTGAACAACGATTCATTCCTAGGATGTTACGCGAAGCTATGGAGATCAAGAAACATCCAAATTTCAATAGGGAAGATGGTTGGTATATACCACCAGCTAGGGAACCCATTATACAACAGATAAAATCCCAACCACGAACACACACTGCAAGACCAACAGCCAACTCAAAATTATAAAAACATAATTAAATAAAGATACTTTATTAATTAAATTAGCTAATAAATTCATACATAGACAATAAAGTTTTAAAAATCTTCCAATGAAATATCCGAACGCTCAATAAAAGTCTTTCGAAGGTAGCTCGAGAAAGTAAAAAAAATCATAATTCAGACGACTCATCCTGAAAAAGATGCGAAACGTCAATAAATAAATAAATCAGTGCATCTATACCGTTGAAACTTGTTTTACTTAAACGTTGAAGGAAGAGATACCAATTCGCACCCTCGGTGCAACAAAGTCACAAGTCGGCAACTGTGAATATGACTTAATGATGTCAAGTTGTATAGAAACCATGCCCTCGTTTGGGGAAATAAAAACAACCGACAGCCTAGTGCCTTTGTGGTTCTGATTCCTTTGTCAACGGTTTTAAGGACAACAGAGTCTGATTGGTTAATAGCGCCCACACCCCCGCTTGAGTTAGTCGTATGTTGGAGCTACAACTGCATGAAGGTAATTGTGACCATTTAGCGAACTTTTCAAGTAACCATAAATAACAATCTGATAAATAAGAAAAACATTTTGAATAAAACTTAAAAGTTCGCTCCTGTAAAATAAATGACCTGTTGAGACTTTATTGCCCCGAGAGTGCGAATTGTAGATTATTATACTTATTTTAACCATATTTGTTACTTAGGTTTTCACGCACATCACTCATTAAATAAAAACTAGTTTTAACGGGTTAATGTAAAATTAAATAAAAAACCATTATTCTGGCGATGCAGACCTGAAAAAGCTGCGAAACGTCAATAAAAAAAATTGTGTATAAAACTAGTTTCATTTATTTTAACCATTTAACAGCTAAATTTATAAATCTAAAGTAATGACAACAGAAAAATCCACACGGTTCAGACAACAGGCGGGATTCGAAAACACACCTTCTGCTATCCGGGCGCTATCTTTAGTTTTATAAATCTAGCAGTTAAATGCCCAAAATAAATATAGCAAAAAAAGTAATGCTATCAACGGCAGTCAGTATTGGGTTCGTTTACGAAGGCGTATGTTAATTTAATTTTGTTTTTTCCACCAGGTGAAAGCCTGGCAGAGCTGCATCAGGGTGGCAGCTCTCATTACCAGCCATACAACACGTGGCTTCCTCTAGTACTGACGCTGTGCGTCATTTTACATTGTAACATTCACATAATTTATTATTAAAATGTTCATATTTTAAATTATATTTTTTTATTTCACTCCCTATCTTAATAATATTTAGTAAGTATCGCACCGATAGAAGTTTTTATTTTCCAATATTTTCCGCTGGTAATAAAAGCAAATGGGCATAGTTAACTGCAGTGCTACCAAATGTGAATTGAAACCTTCAAAGGTTTTTTATTGAAAAAAGATGGCCAACAAGCATGCCCACCTGAGTAAGCGGCCGTAGCGATACCAAAACCTTCACTCGCGCCGTTGCCTACCCTGGCCCCAACTTCTACCCCTTGGAGCCCTGCAAACTTACTCAACCCTCTCACTCACACTAATGGAAACTTAAACCCAACACCACCAGAAGAAAACGTTATCTTCATGTGGTATTCTGTGAGTCGTAAGTTACTTCAATAGCCGGAACCCAAAACGAATGCGGTAACTCCGCTGTATCCTAAAATATGATAGGAACACCATGTCTTAGACATGATGTTCCTATCATACAAGAATGACGGACGCCAGATTGCAGCACTGAGCCGGAATCCTCTACTCATCCGTCAGATCACGTAAGTATGTCGTCATAGTCTATGGATCAATTTAAATGCTCGTTCGATTGATTCACGCCAAAAACCTCATACAAAAGACACCATGACATAGCGGCGCCAACTGGTAGCGTAAATTTTCCAAAACACTCAGGAATTCTTTATTCTGAAGATTAGATGCACAATTTACATAACTTGCATCCGCCCAAGGCAGACGGAGAGGAGACTCCCCCCGTGGGGAGATGCCATCCGCCTGGATATCTCTAGAGACACTCACCAATTCTCGGCTTGAGGTCCCCTTAGGATCTCACCGTCCCCAAACCCGGTGACGCTGTATAGGTCATCTGCGACCAACAGCATACAATCTCAAAAAAAAAAGATGAGATGAGAAGTCAGTAACTTTTATGAGTCCTTGTCTGTGAAGTGACTATCAGGAGCAAATAAATTTATTTATTTTAGAATTAGTCTATTGAAATAATATTTATTGGGGTTGTGTAACTGAAAAGAAAAACCGGAACCCTTGTAGAATCACTTTGTTGTCCGTCTGTCCGTTTGTCTGTCTGTCCGTTTATCTTGCTGTCTGTCTATCAATACCATCTGTAATTCCTGTTGAAATTTAAATCTTAAATCTACGGTCCCTTATAGATGTGAAAAAATCACACTTCTAAGTTAACGCAAAAAAATATATTTCGTACCTAAACAGTGACTACAACACCCTGTTAATAGGCCTCCAGTTTCCGTCCGCGTATTAGGGCTATAGGTATCTTGAACAGCAATATTCATAGAGCAACACGGACCCAACTCTACCACGTTTATGTTGCTATGACAGTTGTTTAAGATCCACTTAAAACACTAGTGCCGTGAAATGCCGTGAAATATTGACGTGAATTCGCGACGTGAATTCATATCAGTGGTGATGACTCCAAACTCTAAGGGTCGCCGCACATGGGCCACCGACCACAACCACAATCCGCCGCCACCGGCATATTTCTTGTAGTTTTCATACATTGTATTTGGACTCACCACGTAGCGTGTGGCGACCACCGGCGTTTACCGTGTGCGGCGAGTCCATATAAAATATCACATAATATGATATATAAAACTATCCAAATAAACGTTCACGCTTGTTCACGGAGGCAGGCACGTTGTAGATAGGCAAATAGGATAAGTGCTTAGATATTTGATATTTTCAGTGTATATTTCTATTGCTGCTTAAAAAACCTGTACATTAAATACGAAAATGTGATATTTTCCACCTTTTCTTTATTTAACTTTAACAATTGCTGTATTTTAAAGTGGTAAACATTACAGCACAGTATGGAGCCCCAATCCGTTCCCTATTTCTACGATTCTAATTCTCCGCTTTCCGCTCAGATGTTTTATGCTAACGCTTTTGTGTTAATAGGCAGATGCAAACATCCATTACATTGGCAAATATTCCTTTTCTGTCAACGCTGCGTAAAATGGATCCATATATTAATACTTATTAGGTAGCTATAGAATATACCTATCCTATTACAATATTATTAAGAAATTTAAATACTGGTCATGACCTAAGAAGCTTATGGAATAATTAATAAATTCTGTTTATTAGTAAACCGAACAAACAGAAAAGGCATTACTAACTTCGTAAAACTTAAAGGACAGCCAGTCAGTACTTAGGCACCTGTATTACGAAAATCTGAAACAAATATTTTCTCGTAGTTGAAACTTTAAAGTACGACATTTGGATCCAATTTACCTGCCGATATAATTTAGATCAATGCATAAAATATTAATGAACGAAGGTCGCTAGATTACTCACTTGGCAAGTTCAAACAGATCGCGGAACTACGAATTATCCGAACCTACAAGCAGCAGGGCATCATAAACATCAGTAATTTATTCGCAAAACTTGTGCGAAAGTGAAATTTTGGAATTTCACACTAGAACAATGATAGAATAATAGATGGGGTAGAATTGATTTACATATTTATGAAGTAAGGACGTATTAAATGTTATTCGATGGGCGGTTAGCGAGGCCCCGGGGACGCCAAAATCCCCACGTATTCGCATCAATTTGTGGATTTGTACATCAATTACAATGTTCCGACACAAATCCTTGAGTAGTTATTGAGATGTCCTTGGGATACGGACTTTATACATATAACTGTTGATTGAATTGAGCATTCGAATTGGGTTAGGGATTATGTGTTATCCCTGGCACTTCCCGTATCAAGTGATCGCTTACGTGATTATTGATTTGACATATGCGTACTGTTATAGATAGTATATGTATCCCCTTTAGCACACCATGCACCCTTGCCTTGCACAGACTGCAAGCTCATCATTATGTACTCATAGCCGCCAGTCCCATCCATACGATCCGCAGTCTCGATCCAACTTCCTAACCAGACGGCTGTCCTACTAAATAAATAAAATTGTTTTTTTTAAAAAGCCATTCTTCCCGAGGCTCATAACATTAAATGGTGGCAGCGTAAAGGGATTCAAAAAGAGTCCCCGGTACGTCTCCGAAACCCAAAATCAACGCGTGTGTTTGTGCGTGTGAGTGTAAGCGCCAGCTCCATTGTGTGGAACGGTTACGTTATTGCACCGAGTTCCGGCCCGGCCCTCTTGGTCGCCTAATTGTTCGTGAAAAGTTCGTGAAAGGCCCATTGCTGCGTGCCGTTTGTACTGCAGCCGGCCTTTACCCAGAACCAGCGAGACTATACCCGCTGTCGCGCACAATTCAGTGCTGCGACCGGTATAATTCTACGACGCGACGACCCGAGGCTTATCATCACGCAGACTTCCCACGCACGGCGAGTTAAGCTCCAAGAAATGATTAATACCTTTATCGTGCTATCTGCATTCTAGTAAGTGACTTTATAAGTTTGGTCATTGCTATTATCATATATTAAATAAGTGTTCTGATTAATTAATCATACCAGCGTTTTTCACGGATTTTACTCCAATATTTTATATAGGTTTCTTATTATTATTTTTGTTATTATTCTACAATGGCAATGGATAGACCTAGGAGTCCTAAATTCGATAACCCCGATATTGCTATTACCGACACGGAGGACGATAGCCAAAACCAATGTCCACCTCCTCTAGGACCTTCCACTAGGTCAGGTGCTCGACGAAAAATCACACCAAGATTGGAAATTGAATTATCCACCTTATTAAAGTTCATAAAACCGTACGACGGTTCCAGAGAAAAATTAAATTCTTTTCTCGTAAATTGCAATAATGCTTACGAGCTTGCCGCAGATTCCCAAAAGGATTTATTATTTAAATACATTCTTTGCCAATTAGAAGGTAAGGCAGAGACCGCTTGTTCCATAAAGGAATTCGCCACTTGGCAACAGTTAAAAGATTTCTTGAAAACACAGTTTAGTGAGCGAAAGCACTATGCTCACCTGCTCACAGATTTGCAAGAGTGCAAACAACAGCCTAACGAACCAGCTAGTCAGTATGCTCTAAGGATTGAGACATGTCTATCCGATTTATTAACGGAAATATCAATTTCTCACGGTCACAAAAGTAGGGAAATGATAGGACGGTCGGCCGCCATGGAGGAACTAGCCCTCCATCACTTCCAAATGGGGTTGCATCCCCGAATTTCTAACATTGTTAGGTGTAAATCGGCTAAATCATTAAACGACGCTATTAATCTAGCAATTTCTGAGGAGAGAATCCAACAAACACTTTCTAGGCAGGGCCCGAGCCAATCCAGCAACCAATATGCGCGTCAGGACAGACATAATTTACCAAGGCCTAATGCACAATTTGTCCGCCGTAGCCAAGGACAACCAACTTCTAACCAATACTACCAAAGACCGAGCTCTAATACTAATCGCTCTTATAGTGGCAATGCTTCGGCCACCCCATTTTGCCGATATTGCAAAACACCAGGTCACACCCTGGAACAATGTAGAAAAAGGGAATATAACAATAACCGGTTTAAAAACCTTGACCAAATTCAAACAAGAGCTCCCCAACGTATAAATTACGTTGAAGACGGTGCACAAGAACCTAACGACGATGAATACCCAACTAATCCTGACGACGGCTATGATACCGTCGATTCCAATCCAAAAAACTAAAGACTGTCTCGTCCCTGTGTCGTACGGGACCTCGTGCACCAAAAATCGACACAGCTGATTCAAACAAAAAATACAAAGTATATAGATGTCGCTACAAACCAGATCCACCGCAAGTATCGCTACATGATGACTTGCCGAAATCCACTGTTTCCGTGCAGCAACTCAAGAAAGTTGATCTGCCAAAATCCACTGTATCCGTGCAGCAACTCAAGAAGGTTGACCTGCCAAAATCCACTGTATCCGTGCAGCAACTCAAGAAAATTGATCTGCCAATATCCACTGTATCCGTGCAGCAACTCGAGAAGGTTGATCTGCCAAAATCCACTGTATCCGTGCAGCAACTCAAGAAAGTTGATCTGCCAAAATCCACTGTATCCGTGCA